CCTCCCTTTCTCCCTCCCTCCTTCTTGCTCTCCCTCTTTCCCTCTTGCTCTCCCCCTCTCTTCCTCCCTCCCTTTCTCTCTCCTCCTCTCTCTCCCTCTTTCTTTCTTCCTCCCTCCCACCCTCTCCTCCTCCTCTCCCTCCCTCCCTCTCCTCCTCCTCTCCCACTCGCTTCTCTCTCTCCCCCCTCTTCTCCTCCTTCCTCTCTCCCTCCCTTTCCCTCTCCCTCTCCCCCCTCTCCCGCTTTCTCCCACTTTCCTCCTTCCTCTCCCTGTCTCTCCCTCTCTCCCTCCTTCCCTCTCCCTCCCTCTTTTTCGCTCTCCCTCCCTCTCTCCCTCTTTCCCGCCTTCTCCCTTTTTCCTCTTTCTTCCTTCCTCTCCCTCTCTCTCCCTCTCTCTTAATGCAGGCTATTTCTTGCCATTACGCCAGTAGTGACTGCTACTATATTGACGTCAAAGGGACCACCCAGGAAATTTTAGAGAAGGAAGTGGGAGATATTGTAAGGCGGAGGTTTAATATGGCTGGTTCCTCGGTGGATTTGAAAGTAAGTATTTTCTTTCCTTTTTTTTTTTCTTTTTCTTTCTTTAAAAAAAAACACCACGTTCAAAAGGGTTCGGCCCTCTGCTTCCCTTATAAAGCGTTCAATCGTTCTCCCTAATGAAGAAGTATGTAAAAAAAACCACCATTTCTGCAGAATTTATATCTTTGGATGCTGCGCTTGTCTGATTATCGGTATTTCTTCTCTGAGATTGGAAGGGGCTAAGTTTCTCCATGAGACTGGAATAAATCGTGAATTATATTTCCTATAACTGGACCTTCGTTTGGAGGCTAGTAGTACAGGCAGTCCTCAACTTATGACCACAGTCGGGAGTAGGATTTCCATTGCTAAACGAGGAAGTCATTAAGTGTGCCCGATTTTATGACCCTTCTGGCCACAGCTGATAAGCAGATCAGTTGCCGTTGTTAAGTGAATCTTGGCAGAAGGTCGCAAAAGAGGATCACGTCTCTCTAACACACACACATATGTGTCATAAATGCGAGTCAGTTGCCGAGCTGTCTGAGTTTTGATCACGTGACCACGGGGAGGCTTACAACGGTCGTAAGTGTGAAAAAAAACGATCCTAAGTCGCTTTTTTCAGCGCCGTTGTCACTTCCAAGATCACTAAATGAACTGTCGTAAGTGGAGGACTACCTGTATTGCGTTCCGAACGTGGAAAAATCTTTTTAAATGGACGTCCAAGGCATTAACTAAACTCAACCTCTTTATACCTTCCCGTGCGAATCAGGATAAATCTCATTATTTCTGTTTTGTTTCTCAGGACGCTGCTTTAATGCGGTGTCGACTGGTTAAAGGGGAGAAAAAAAATCTTTAAAACTCTGTTTGGATCCATTCTCCAATCAGCGAAGAAGCCTCGGAAAATTCAGCATTTATTTTTTCTTACTTTTTTGGGGGAAGGACTGTGCGGTTAGTAATAATCTCGATAGCACTTTGAAGCGCTATCTGCATCTGGAACTCAATTCAAGGCTGCAATTCTAGGCACATAAATTGTGAGCTACAATGACTATGGTGAAATTTCTTTCTGATTAAAAAAATAAATGATTAGAATTTAAGCTGCAATTCTATACAAGTTTTACTTAGATTCTAAGAATTTAAACTGGTGTCCTACTCGTCTAATGATGAGAAACCTGAGCTCAGTTGGATTTTTAACTATACGTGCATAGAATTATATATTTAATTTAACAACTGTAACTGATGTATTTTAAGTAATTTAAATAAATTATATTTTTGCAGTGTTTGGAAAAACCTCAAGACCTCTTTAAACAGTGCCTCATTTCTCAGAGCTAGAGCAATTTTAGATTTTTCTTTGAAGGAAAATCTTTTATTTTAGTGGCAAGCATTTCTTCTCATAGTTTTTTCACCAGAGTGCAGAGTTTTAGATAGTTAACCCGGTTTTTCCGGTTTTCAAAAGTTGGAAGGAGCTGTTTTATTTGAGAAGAATATCATGGACTGGAAAAGGTAGAAGAAGAATCAAGCAATGATTGAAAGCAGATTTCCAGTTTCTGCATGTGAGCTTTTTCTTACATTAGAAGACGACATGAAAAGTGGATTCGTTTTTTCCTCTTTTTTTTTCCTTGTTCCTCCTCAGTTAAAGTTTCTGAAATATTTCTTCCAAGGGAGACTTTGAAGAGGAGGAGCAAGGAAAATCTTGTCCTAAGCAATGAAGAGATATAATTGTGATGCCAAAATAAAATAATAAATGAAAAACATGGTTTCCCTGTTTTGAATAATCTTACTTTTCTTACAAGAAATAAGCAAAAAGTATCATTGAGTCAAATGAATTGGATAGCCAGCAGATTTCAAACCAAATCTAAACCTTTATGGTCAATGCACAACATCTGTACAATGAAATTGAATTTTGAACATCTTTCAAAGTTAAACTAACCAGGGTGAGGGGTAGATTTTGACAGTGCCATCTTGTGACTGAGTAGCATAAACAAATGATGAAATGGAGATCAGTCATTCATCCCAATCCCCTTGAGAGAGAAATCAATCTCACAGGAGATAAACAAAACCAAGCTAATCTAGCATTTTACTAGATGCCATTGCTTGCACTGTACAGTATAGACCACAAGGTGGCAGTGGTCTGCTAAAAGTTGAAAAGCTTTCTGCCCAAAGTATTACTGATCCCTCTGAAAGAATTATAACTATTACAGGTTACACAATAGAATCTCTTTTAAAAAATACACCAGGCACCAGTGGTGGGTTTCCAAAATTTTTATTACCGGTTCTGTGGGTGTGGCTTGGTGGGCATGGCATGGCTTGGTGGGCGTGGCAGGGGAAGGTTACTGCAAAATCCCCATTTCCTCCCAATCAGCTGGGACTCGGGAGGCAGAGAATAGATGGGGGCGGGGCTAGTCAGAATTTTTACTACCGTTTCTCCAGAACTGGTCAGAACCTGCTGAGACCCACCTCTGCCAGGCACCCATAATATTGTACCGTCCATTGAGAATGGACTGGGATGATCTGAACCTGTGCGAGACAAGGAGCCATTTCTTACTCGTGCATTGTGAGTCTGAGTCTGAGTGTGTATAATGAAGAAGAATTATTCATATGGTGTTTTGTTTCTTTTGCTGGCAGCTGGATGTTAAATGCTGCCTTAGTAGGAGGCATTAGCCTCCTACGCCACTCAGGCTATTGAGCTGTAGGCACCAAAGGAGGAGCACCAGGTTAGTTTTAAGCAGGAGAAAAATATCAGTGCTCAGACAGCTGTTTTTTTGCAACCTATAAATGATATTAGGCCATACTGCAATGCTTAACATGAATGAGGTCTGGAAAAGCAGGGATATTGATATACAGTAAATAAGTGAATCGGGCTAGTTGGAGCAATACTTCCTTTCACGGGTGTGAAAGTTGGGACGTTAGGAATGGCCGATCAAAGAAGAATTGGTGCTGGCGTAAATTATTGCACATACCCTGGACAGCTGGAGTAACCAACAGAGAAGTGTTCAATTGAATAAAACCAGACACATCGCCAGAAGCTAGAAGCACAAAGCTGAATCTGGTTTACTTCGGCCATGTCATGAGCTCAAACTCACTGGAGAAGTTCATTGTCCATTGTCCTTCTCATCCTCCTCAGCCACTTCCAGACCGCCTCTCTCTCTTTCTCTCTCTCTCTCTCTCTCTCCCCCTCCCTCCTCCTTCCCTCCCTCTTTCTCTCTCTCTCTCTCTCTGACAGCTCCATTCCCTCTTCCCCACCAGGCTCTTCTGTTGTGTTGAATGCCAGGTTTCCAGAAATTCTCCATCGTTTTTTAGACTTAGCTTGGTTCGGGATGCTCAGAGTTTCCCTGCTGAAACTACGGCTAAGGCTGTCCATGGGTTGGGCAATTAAAGAGTCTTTGGACTGCTAGTTAGTATTCATGGATGCACTCTGCTTGTCTTCTGTTGGCTCGGGGCTTCTGGGAGTTGAAGTCCCCACATGTTAAAATTGCCAACCTTGAGAAAGATGGTTATATCACAAGATAAAATAATATCGAAAGTAATGGAATGTGCCGAGATGGACAAACTCACTAAAGAAATCCAAGAAAAGGAAGAATCTGAATACTACCTGGTTTGGCAAAAGTGGTATCAATGGCTGGAGAAAAGGAAAATGAAATAAAAAGATGATTCTAAAAGATGTGAACCCAATTGTGTACCAAATGAGATACAATAGAGTTACAACAAAACTTCAAAAAGTATCGTTATATAAGGAGAGATGTGGGAATATACACAGAGAAATACAATTTACCAGTGTATTTTCTTAAGAAATAAGGTATCATGTTCAAATGTTGTACATGTTGTGTATTGTTTTTACTTGTACCTGTTTGTGTTCTTTTTTCTTCTTCTCTTCTTTCTGTCTGTGTATGTTTTTAATTCAATAAAAAAGAGAGAAAGATGGTGATAGAGATACAATATATCTGACTTTCCAAGACTGTCCAGCGCTGTTCTCAAAGGGAGCGTCTACAATCTCAGCTTTTTAATAGAACAGAAGAGGAAGAGAAGAGAATGTAGAGTAGAGTAGAGTAAGGTAGGGTAGAATAGAATAGAATAGAATAGAATAGAATAGAATAGAATAGAATAGAATAGAATAGAATAGAATAGAATAGAATAGAATAGAATATGGAAGGGGAGAAGAGAAGAGAAGAGAAGAGAAGAGAAGAGAAGAGAAGAAGAGAAGAATCCCAATGGCCAAGTGTGATGGGACACACAAGGACTTTGTCTCCGGTGCAGAACCTCTCAGTGTGCATACAAGCAACAACAGGTAAATGCTGAGCATAAAATACAATCCTAAAATAGCGGACTCTTCTCAAAGCCCCTCCTGCAACGCGCAAGTCCCTTCGCTTCGCTCCTTTCCAGCCGGGCGAGCGCGCTGCAGCGGGAGCGCGTCTTGGCCGGTCGCCCGGCCTGTGGGGCCGCCCCTGGCTTCCGACGCCGCCTCCCGAGCACCTGGGCTGGCCTGCTTGCCTTCTCCGCCCCTTGCCGGCTACATCCGAGCCCGACCGGCGGTCTCCGAGAGCCGGAGCGGAGGGCTGAGCGGCAGAAGCGCCCGGCTGATTCGCCAAGGCCCCGCGCGCCATGGAGAGGCTGGGGAAGCAACGCAGCGCGCCCCTCCGGCTGGGGATCTTGCTCCGGCACCTGCTTCCCCCCGCCGGATTCGTATCCTTGTCCTGCCCACCTGGGCCTCTGGGTCGCCTATCCCGGGACTTTGCACCTTCTGGGCCCCGGGACTGGCAAAGCCCGCAACGTCGGGGTAAAAAAAGCTCAACCGGTTGGAGGAAGACTCCGGGGTCTCTTGGTGCGCTCTGAATTTGGTTATTTTCCTTTCATGACCCCACTAGGTTACATCATCAGTGCTGGAAGGGAGGGGGGTTTGCAGAGAGGAGGAGGAGGAGGACTGTGGTTGAACCTTGGTTGAAACAGCTTCCAACTCCTCCCAACTCTAAAGTATGTTAAATTAAAACTAAGCTCCCCAACTAATTCAATTTAATGTGCACTAAATGTTCTTGGATGTTTGTTTTTGTTCCTCTGATGTTAAGGAAACATTCCACTGGAGCCATTAAAAAAAAAAAAGGAACATTTTCAGCTCCTTTATCCATCAAGCTTTTAAATTTCAAACTGGTGGCAGCTGTAAGATAACTTGGGGGGGGGGGGGTAATTTAAATGGGAAGACGCTATATTATATTTAATTTCTTTCTGTTTTATGAGAACTCCTGTGATTATAAATGCATTCCGAGTGTGTTTCCCACGGGAACTTCTACCATCAAAGCCATCTTTTAAAATTTTCTTAATTTGATGTCAAGACACCTTTTCCAACTTCAGCCCAGGTTGGTCCTGTGACATGCCCAACGCAGTTCCGGTAAGTGGAACTTTACTCTGATTTTCCTCGGATTAAAACACAGATTCAAACGTTTGCTTCATTTTGCTCCCTTTGGGTATTTAGCAGTATGTTTATGTGGGGTTCCGTAGTTTTTGATTTTGGTTTGTAAAGTGAATGACTTCTCTTAAACTGGTCTTGCCTTTGGTAAGTAGTTGGGTTGATTTTATTTTTATGAATATGTCTCATTTTCAGAGAATAACCTGCCACTCCAGGCCCCAGTAACACGTAGAAGACATCCCAAAGGTGCTTTTTTTCAGGAGGTTTTTTCAGAACCACTTTCTCGGTTTTTCTTTTTGAAGACGTTTCGCTTCTCATCCAAGAAGCTTCTTCAGCTCTTGACAGGATAGTGAGGAATGGAATCTTGCCAGAGCTGAAGAAGCTTCTTAGATGAGAAGCGAAACGTCTTCAAAAGAAAAAAAACCCAAGAAAGTCCAGTTGCCTTCTGAAAAAAGCACCTTTGGGACAACCATGACCTAGAGGACGGAGAACCTCTACAGACCAGTGGTGGGTTGCCCCCGGTTCACACCGGTTTGCAAGAACCGGGAGAAAAATCGGCGGGAGGCTCCGCCCACTGACCCGGACGTCATCGTAAGTGATCTGCGGATGCGCAGAAGAGAGCGCGCGCACACGAGCATAATGCAAACCAGTAGTAAAGATAAGTAGGAAACCCCCCCCCGCTACAGACATCTAGAAGGCATGTGCAACACAATACCAAGCACAATAGAACCTCTGGTCACGGACGCTTCTGACCACGACCATATCAGTGTGTTTTGTAAGCGCCAAATTTCCTGTTGTTTGTTTACAAACAACAGGGACCCACGTGTGGCCGCTGCATTAATTTTGCATTAATTTTGGTTAGGTTCGGGTGACGACCAAATCGGGTTGGGACCAAAGTTATGGAAGAAATTATGGTCGTGACAAAAGAGTATACAAAAGAGTATAATACCAAGTAATATTATGTATATATATATATATATATATATAATATTTGTTTTCTGAGGTCTTTGGTTATTCGGGTTTTCTCCCGCGTAAAATTGGAAGTGTCTTGGCAACGTTTCGACGAAGTCTCATTCGTCATCTTCAGGCTGGTGTTCTCGGCTTCGTGCTTCTAGGAGCAATGTGTGTGATCGCAGCTGTTTCTTCCTTTTAACTGCCAGTGGGGGTGTCAACTGATTGGGTGGGAGCTTGGCTGTGTTCTGATTGGGTGGAGGTGTGTTCTGATTGGTTGGGGGTTTGGCTGTGCTCTGATTGGATATATATTATATATATATATATTATGCCCAGAGGTGGGGGGGGTGCCCTTGGTCTCTGCACACCGATGGAAAGCCACCTCTGCTCCTCCTGCAGGGTCTCTCCTGGTGTCTCAAAGCCTGGTCGGCCGGTGGCAGCTCGATATGCCTGTTGATAGAATTGCTATTGGAGAACTAGGCTTCCTTTAGTAGGCGTCCTCCCTTAGTCTTATCATGGGCAATAACCTCAGCCTCTTGAAATTCAGACGTGTGGCCGTGCTCCTTCATATGCGTCCAGATCTGGGAGCGCTGCTCCTTGCGTCGGACAGCCAGTTCGTGTTCCTGTAGTCTGGTCTGTTTCCCCTACGTAATTGCTTGCACAATTACTGCAGTTGATGCGGTAAACGATTGAAATAGTGTGCAGAGACCGAGGGCACTCCCCCCCCCACCTCTGGGCATGCAGGCTCAGCCTGTGAAGGCACGGTTGGTCCTGACCAAACACAGAGCAAGCAGGGCTGTCTCAAACTGCAACAGATAGGATTAATGAGAAACAAACCTGGCTGACCACGAGGTCACAGACAAGACAGCAAATTGCAATAGCTGACAGGCTAACATCACCCCCCACTGATAAGCAAGCTAGGAGGGAGGAAACAGTGGGAGTCAAGCCTCCATCGTCCAGCATAACGACAGCAAAAACAACACAGCTGATTACAAGTGGGAGACGGCTGGAAGGGGCAAGGGCTAAATTGATTAATGGCATATAAAGGCAGAGATCTCTGTAATGGTAGTTTAATACTCTGACGATGTCAGGAGGTGGCTGACGAAAGCTTAGTAGAATAAAATTTTAATTCTTTTAAAATCTTAAAATCTTAAATTCCGGAGTTTGCAGTATGTCTGTTTCTTTTTTTTTTTTTACTAATATACGTTGGTTATTCGGGTTTTCGGGTTTTCTCCCGCGTAAAAGTGCCAAAACACTTCCAATTTTACATGGGAGAAAACCCGAATAACCAAAGACCTACATACAAACACCTGCGAAAACCTGAGAAAACAAATATCGCACCTCTACGGGAGGAAATCCACCATCTGACCAGGACCTATGAAAAACTTGAAGTCCAAAGAGCTTCCATTTTATGTGACCTTGCATTCCTACGCAACTGCCGAGATCAAAATTTAATCCCCACAGGCTTCCAACTGAAATTCCACTCCAACTCTGCAGCCACCAAACGCATTCTGAAAAGAACAGAACTAGCCCTAATCAGAAATGAACTCCACAGAAAAAGATTCCTCCTAGACCGAATCAACAAGGATCTCCTCACACTTCACCTCAAACTCAGCAACAAGATCCACCCCGCACTTTGGGACAAATCCAAACAACTTGCCATCTGGAGAGCCGAAACACAGACCACCCTCAAGACAGACACACACACCAACAAACTCCGAAGACTACAAGAACGCCAGAAACAATCCCCTCCACCCTCACAGCCACACATGAAACAAACAGTGCATAACATCTCAGATAGGATCCTCACCAAAGCCGAAACCAATGTCCTTTCCAAAGGATTCAACTTTGCAGTCGCTCCCAAAAGCATCCCCACTGAAACCATTATATGCGGAGTTGAAACCAGCCTGACCAAAATCAACCCCGACGACGCAAACAGAATCAGACTCGAAATCACCAACATCCTCTGCACCAGCAAGCCACCCAAAAGTAACTTACCCAAAGAGGAACAGACAGCACTACTTAACCTGAAAGAAGACACCAGCATAATAATCCTACCAGCAGACAAGGGCAATGCCACGGTGGTTATGAACACATCTGACTACCAAACCAAATTAACCAACCTACTCCAAGACTCCATATACAAACCCCTAAACACAGACCCCACCACCTACCTGGAAAAAACCACCAGATCCAAAATAAAAGCCTCCCCCATCAGCGAAGAGATTCAGCAAAGAATCATTCCCAGAGAGAAATCATCCAGATGCCCTAAGCTTTATGGTCTCCCCAAGATACACAAAGAAGGAACCCCACTTAGACCCATAGTCAGCTCCATAGGCTCACCTCTACAAAACCTAGCCAAATTTCTCGCCAAACAACTACAGCCCTATGCAGAATCCATCACCTCATACGTAAAAAACTCATTCCAGTTCATAGACATCATAAAGCAACAAAACTTACAGCCCAGTGACCTACTCGTGAGCTTCGATGTCATATCCCTCTTCACCCAAGTACCAATCAAAGAAGCCTTGACAATTATCCAAAACAAATATAACCCCCCAAAGCACATCTTAGATCTGACCAACCACTATCTATCCAACACATAATTCATCTATAATGGACAGAAATACAAACAAACAGAAGGAGCACCCATGGGATCACCCCTCTCACCTGTCATTGCCAACCTCTATATGGAATACTTTGAAACCCAAGCTCTGGAAAAATCTGATCACAAACCTAAACTCTGGCTCAGATATGTGGACGACACCTTCATAATCTGGCCACATGGGAAAGAAAAACTGGACAACTTCCTCACACACCTCAACAGCCTACACCCCAAAATACAGTTCACCATGGAAACAGAAGCGAACAACCAACTTCCCTTCCTGGATGTCTTAGTCTACAGAAAATCCAATGGCTCCCTAGGACACACTATCTACCAGAAGAAAACACACACAAACCGCTATCTGCACGCACTCTCACACCACCACCCTGCCCAGATCAACTCTGTAGCCAAGACACTCATTTCCAGAACAAAACGCTTAGCTGACGAACAACACCTAAAAACCAAACTACACACTCTCACTAACGTACTAACATCCAATGGATTCCAAAGAAATAAGATCACCAACCTAATCCAAAAAGAAACCCCCACTAAAATCCAAGACAGAGAACAAGAAAACGGCAAGGCCCTCCTCCCATACATAAAAGGCACCACAGACAGAATAAGCAAAATCCTCCACAAACATAACATCAAGACAGCATTCTGCACAAACCGAAAAATATCCACCATCCTAAGGAACCCCAAAGACAAAATTGAGTTAGAAAATCAAGGAGTATATGAAATCCCATGCACCGCCTGCCCCACCACATACATCGGACAAACCAACAGACGAATAAGTGCACGCATAGAAGAACACAAGAACTCAGTCAGAAAAGAGGAACCAACTTCTTCCCTGGTCCAACACCTTAAAGCCACAGGACATGATATTGACTTTTTTAGACCAGAACTATCACCAAAACTGAACACTTTAACAACAGAATAATCAGAGAAGCCATTGAGATAGAAAAACGCCCACACAGCATGAACAAACGAGACGATACCTCCCGCCTACCAGCCATTTGGAAACCCGCCCTTATTGACAAACGAGTCCCTAACACGACGAATGACACCAGACCCACACTCACGAAAGCCACACAGGATGTCACCACCACACATCCACGCAGAAAACAGACTCAAACCCACACTGATAATGAGCCACGACCAAGGACCAGAAGCCAGACCGCAGCTGCATCATTAGCCACTTTAAACCCCTCCAATCCATACATGAAGCAGACTGACACCCACCATGAAGAGCTTGCACGGCCACAAACACGAAGCCAAACAACAACAACGCAGCTCACCAGCTCAAATCCCCCTGCAACTCAGACTAAGCTGAGCACAACCAAGCCCCCACCCAAACAGAACACCCCCCCAACCAATCAGAGCACAGCCAAGCCCCTAACCAATCACATGCATTCTTCTTCATGCATCATTATACCAGTTTTTTGATCTTCTTTCCATCTCAGTTGAAGTTGATTATACTGTAACCAAGTTAAATTAATCCCTTCTTCCAACAGCATTTCTAATGTCTTTAATTGCCATCTGCCCCCATCCATAAGAAGAACCTCTTTGTATAAAAACCCCCCGAGTGACATTATATTTGTATTCCACATGATATGACCAAGATCCAGCCATAACGGTATTTTATAATCCCATTTGAATCGGTGCTTCTTCCAGACTCTCATCAAAGAGTTCCTAAGTATATGGCTTTTGAATACTTTATCCACTTTATTGTCATAAAATAAATATGCGTGCCATCCAAATTCAAGGTCATGACTTTCTATATTCAATATTCCAGTCTTTATCCTTCCAAACCAATCACTTGCTTGCGTCAAAGCTGCTGCATTTCAGGGTTTTGATCTGAAGAACATCTTGTTTTAGGATTTAATGTATCTTCTTTTCAAGGCTTTTTTGGGGCGGGGGCTTGTATTTATTGTGTGGTTCTGTAAAGGAAGGGTCTTCAATCTTGGCAACTTTAAGTCTTGTGGACTTCAACTCCCAAAATTCCTCAGCCAGCTTCTGGGAGTTGAAGTCCACAAGTCTTAAAGTTGCCAAGGTTGGAGACCCCTGCTGTAATGTATCCCAAGGCTGCAAGTTTTCATTCCACTTCAATACAAAAAAAATCAATATTTCATGTCTCCACAGTTACACCTTGGATAATGACGTCTTAACTCCAGAGCAGAGACGTTTCTATGAGGACAATGGATATCTCCTCATCAAAAATCTGGTGGCTGATGAAGATATTGAGCGCTTCAGGTAAAAGAAAGACTGGTATCCTTGATCCATGTGGCTGAAAACATTCAACCCAACAACTTTTTAATTTTTTTTTATTTGTTTATATTTATATACCACCCTTCTCCCGAAGGACTCGGGGCGGTGAACAGCCAACAGATAAAACACAAGAAAATACAAAATTTAAAAACAGTAAATTTGAATTGCTCTAAGACAGGGCTCTCCAAACTTGGCACACCTGGACTTCAACTCCCAGAAAGCTGAAGCCCACAAGTCCAAGAATTCTGGGAGTGGAAGCCCACAAGCCCAAGAATTCTGGTGGTTGAAGTCCACAACTCCAAGAATTCTGGGAGTGGAAGTCCACAACTCCAAGAATTCTGGTGGTTGAAGTCCACAAGTCCAAGAATTCTGGGAGTGGAAGCCCACAAGTCCAAGAATTCTGGGAGTGGAAGCCCACAAGTCCAAGAATTCTGGGAGTGGAAGCCCACAAGTCCAAGAATTCTGGGAGTGGAAGTCCACAAGTCCAAGAATTCTGGAAGTGGAAGTCCACAACTCCAAGAATTCTGGTGGTTGAAGTCCACAAGTCCAAGAATTCTGGGAGTGGAAGCCCACAAGTCCCACAAAACTTGAAGTCCACAAGTTTTAAAGTTGCCAAGTTTGGCAACTCATGCTCTAAGAAGTCAATTGGAAACCATGTCATTTGAGCAAACTAGGAATTGCTCTTAATGAACTATGTCACTGCAGTCCAGAAGGTGGTTGTAAGTGTTTCGTCTGGAGTTGTGCAAAATTGTGCATAATTTTTGTAATTACGACAAGGAAGTTTTAATTGTTGTTTATTGTGCTGTTTTTATTATTATAATTGTGGCATGGGAACATCCAGCGGCGTGGACAATAAATAAGCAAGCAAGGACATAAGTGTAGGTGGCAGCTTGCAATCTACACTTGGAGAACCCTTGGCTTAGATCCTGTGAATTTTCAAAAAACGGATCTCTTAGAACAGGAGTCCTCAAACTTTTTAAACAGGGGGCCAATTCACGGTCTCTCAAACTGTTGGGGGGCCGGATCGGTTGGGAGGGTGTGTCTAGGTGGTCATGTGACTGGGTGGGCGTGGCCAAATTAACAGTCCATTGAACAATGCACACAAATTAAACTTTAATTTGTTTTGCTCCTGGGGGTGTTTTATTTGCTTTTGTTTGCATGTTGCTCTTTTGGTTGCCTTTTCTTTTTGCTAGATCGTTTTTTCCATTGTTTAGGAGTCTCGTGGTCCACTTCAGGAAAATCAGTTTTGCTTCAACTCTTCTCAGCCCCAAGGAGCTTGAGAAATCTCTCTCTATCTCTCTCTGTCTCATTGTCTCTCTCTCTTTCCTTCTCTCTCTCTCCCTCTCTTTCTCTCCTTCTCTCTCCCTCTGTCTCTTTCTTTCTTTCTCTGTCTGTCTCTCTTTCTTTGTCTAACTCCCTCTCTCTCCCTCTCCCTTTCTCTCTCTCTCCCTTTCTCTCTCTCTCCCTTTCTCTCCTCTCTCCTTCTCTCTCTCTCCCCTCTTTCATTCGTTATTTCTCTGTCTCTCTCTCTCTCTCTATTTCTCTTCCCTCCTCTCTCTTTCTCTCTCTCCCTCCCTCTTTGTCTCTCTCTCTCTCTATCTATCTATCTTGTGGAGGCGGTGAAGGTGAAAAATGGGCTGGTTTTGCCTGTTTTTTCCCTCTTCTAACCCCCCCTCACCTTCACAAGCATTCTGCAGGCTAAAGCCAGGCAAAAATGGCTCATTTTGGGGGCAAAAATGGCCCATTTTTGCCTGTTTCTTTCTTTCTTTCTTTCCTCCCTCCCTCCCTCCCTTTTCTTTTTACTAGATCGTTTTTTCAGTTGTTTAGGAGTCTAGTGGTCCACTTCAGGAAACTCAAGTTTTGCAGGAATTCTTCTCAGCCCAAGGAGCTTGAGAAATCTCTCTCTTTATCTCTCTATCTCTTTGTCTCCCTCTCTTTCCTTCTCTCTCTCCCTCTCTTTTTCTTTTTTTCTCTGTCTCCTTCTCTCTCCCTCTGTCTCTCTCTTTCTCTGTCTGTCTTTCTTTGTCTAACTCCCTCTCTCTCCCTCTCCCTTTCTCTCTCTCTCCCTCTCTCTCCCTTTCTCTCTCTCCTTCTCTGTCCTTCTCTCTCTCTCCCCTCTTTCATTCATTCTTTCTTTTTCTTTCTCTCTCCTCTCTCTCTCTCTCTCTTTCTCTTCCCTGTCTTTCTTTCTCTTTCCCTCTCTCTTTCCTTCTCTCCCTCCCTCTCTCTCTCTCTCTCCATCTTGTGGAAGCGGTGAAGGTGAAAAATGGGCCGGTTTAGCCTGTTTTTTTGCCTTTTCACACACACAATTTTTGCCTGTTTTTTGCCTCTTCTAACCCCCTCCCCCACCTCCACAAGCATTCTGCAGACTAAAACCAGGCAAAAATGGCTGGTTTTTTGGGCAAAAACGGTTTTCTCCCTTTTCTTTTTACTAGATCGTTTTTTATGTTGTTTAGGAGTCTAGTGGTCCACTCCAGGAAAATCAGTTTTGCTGCAATTCTTCTCTTTTTCTGTTTTTCTCTCTCTTTCTCTCCTTCTCTCTCCCTCTGTCTCTTTCTTTCTTTCTCTGTCTGTCTCTCTTTCTTTGTCTAACTCCCTCTCTCTCCCTCTCCCTTTCTCTCTCTCTCCCTCTCTCTCCCTTTCTCTCTCTCCTTCTCTCTCTCTCCCCTTTCATTCTTTCTTTCTTTTTCTTTCTCTCTCTTTTTCTCTTTCTCTATTTCTCTTCCCTCTCTTTCTTTCTCTTTCCCGCTCTCTTTCCTTCTCTCCCTCCCTCTCTCTCTCTTTCTGTCTCTCTTTTCCTCTCTGTTTCTATCTCTCTCTCTTTCTGTCTGTCTCTCTCTTTCTATCTTGTGGAGGCAGTGAAGGTGAACTAATTGCTTCCTGCAAAGGCCACGTCCATTTGCTCCTCTTTTATGACTTATGGGAGGGGCCAATCATCTCCAAACCTTACTCCTGAGTCGCCCCTTTTGTTTTCTTAATTGTTCTTGCCTTCTGGCAGCTCTGCACATGCGCACACTGGGAACAGGCTCTCGCTGTTCTTCTGCTTCTCTGATGTCAGATTCCGGAGGCTCCGGAGGCAGCACATAACTCCCAGATGGCCCTGGCTCCCTCTCTGCCTCCGACGCAGAGCCCTCGTCCGAGCCTTCCCCAGACTCCAGGACTGGCCCACATTCCTCCCCAGCCTCCTCACTGTCCGACTCCGCTGCCAGCTCCGCAGGCCGCCGACGGGCCACAACAGACATACCTAGCTCCCTTGACGGTTCATCGTACGATTTAGCCTCCAGTATTCTGGAATAATTCCTTTTTGATTCCCAATGGAAAGCCTTACGCGGAATGAATGCAAAAGTAGAGGAGTTCTGGATGCCAATTTAAAATGCTTTCCCCTTTTCTTTTCTTTTTTAACCCTGTTTTCAGAGAGGAGTTCATAAAGATATGCAGAAAGGAAGTGAAGGTGCTTGGAATAACTATCATGAAAGACATCACGATTGTCAAGTCTGAAGCCGACGAGAATAACGTTTCCAAATTGCAGGATTTCATCTATAGCGAGGAGCTCTTTCGATACTGCACCTTACCTCAGGTGAAAGCGGGACTGTTCCGAAATCCTAAAATTTTGTATAAGCATCTCTCCCCGTCTCAAAAGAACTTACCTTATGCGTGGCCAGTATCTGAAAATGACATTTAACACAGCCCGGTACTTAAGCAAAATGCTTCGGTTGAGATCGGCATACGTGGGACTGATTGGGATAGATTGCAATATAATTTTATCATATTTTATCTGTATCTTAAATTATTGTTATTTTATTCCAATGTCATTTTAAATCGTAGTTTATCCAATTCCATTTTAAATTGCTTTTATCAATTTTTTTTAGTAATAATTTGTTTCTGGAACTCTGCACTTTGATATGGCCCAAGGGCTAATCTGTCAGTCAATCAATCAATCAAATAAAGCCAAAAAACAAACAAACCCCAAAACCCAAAACAATTCTAAAGATGGGATTTTGGTATAAACAACTGATTTCATTCAAGATGATTTGTCTTTGTGTGTACAAAATTGTCGTTTGTTTGTTGCCCAATTGACGTCTGGCTTCCCTGACTTCACAAAAATAGATAACGAAGAGCTAACTTCTGTTGTGCTTAAATGGAACAAAAGATAAAAGATATAAGGTTTTGTTTTGATCACGGGGATGCTGCAGCGGTCATAAGTGTGAAAATGGTCCCAAGTCCCCTTTTTTTCAATGTTTTCGTAACTCTGAATGGTCCCGAAAGGAACCGTTCTAACTCCAGGACTGCCTGTAGTTGTTTGGGGAACAGTTCTAAAGTTTGGCCCCTTTTTTGACGCGCGTTCGCATTCGGTTCCCACGCCGGTGTCATTGTGTTGTCTCTGGTTGTCATTCCTTGTTCCTGTTATCTCCCCTTCCTCCCTATCTCCCCCACCCCGCCACACACTTTTTAAAAATTTTATTTATACATTTTTTTTCTTTGATATGCATAAGTGCTTAATGAACAGCATATTATCTGAGTCAATTTGTTTATATAAAATAATACTAATAATACTACTAATAATAGTGATAATATTTACTTATATGTAATAATAATCTCTCATCATTTACTTATACATATCCGTACTCTTTCATCTTCTAATTTCTCCCTCTTTTGCCTAACTACTGGTAAGACAAATCCCACGTTAAAAAATATTCTGTTTCTTCCTTGTCTTTTATTTTTAATGCCAGTCTATCCGTCTCCGCACAGTCTAATATTTTTCTAGTTTATATTTTCACCTGTCGGGGTATCCTCATTTTTCCAATATTGTGCAAATACAGTTCTCGCGTCAGCAGGTGTCGTATTAAACACATCATCCCTTTATTGTATTTCTGGCATTATACCGAACAAAAATATTTCTGGTTTTAGGTCTTACGTGTTGCTCTGTCGTTTTTTTCCTAACCTTGTATGTATCCCCTACCCAGGGGTGAAATGCTCCCGGTTCGGACCGGATCGCCTGATCCGGTAGCGATGGAGGCGGGTGGTTCGGAGAACCAGTAGCAAAAATCCCTGCCCCACCCCCGCACAATCATCAGAGGCTTTTTTTTTTTTTTAGTTTTTAAAAGCATTTTTTCTACAACCTCTTCGGCCGAAAAAATGCTTTTAAAAGTAAAAGAAAAAGCCTCCGATGATCGCACGGCTCAGCTGGGATCGTCAGAGGCTTTTAAAAGCATATTTTCTACAACCTCTTCAGAGGTTTTAAGAGCCTCTGACGATCCCAGCTGAGTTGCCTGATCAGCAGAGAATTTTTTTCTTTTAAGAGCCTCTGACGATCCCAGCTGAGTCTTTTGTCATCAGAGCCTTTTGAAAGCATTTTTTTACAACCTCTTTGTCGAAGAGGTTGTAGAAAAAATGGTTTTAAAAGTAAAAAAAATAAAATGGCCACACCCACCCAGTCACATTACCCCCACCACCACCAAGCCACGCCCACAGAACTGGTAGTAATAAATTTTAGATTTCACCACTGCCCCTGCCCCACCCTTTCTGTTAGGCTGCCATCCAAGCGAAGCAGAGCCGAAGCCCCATGATGGCAGATCTGACAGTTACCGCCGACTATTTTCCATATCGCTTTTTGGTTTTTAACCATTCCATCGTAAGGATTTGTGGCGGCTTTAAATATCTCTTTCTTTTCTGAGCTGGTTTTGTTTCCTTTAGATCGTAAAATATGTCGAATGCTTCACGGGGCCGGACATCATGGCTATGCACACCATGCTGATCAATAAACCTCCCGATACAGGTGAGACGCAGGTGAATTAACAGGTGAGAAGAAGCTCAGGGAGCACCAGGGACCCCCTCCTGTCAACCCTGCGCCGGAAATAATTCTCCTTTGTTGCTAGCGTTACTCCCTCTTTCTGAGACCATGGAATTCCTCCTCCTTTCCAGGCAAGAAAACCTCTCGTCATCCTTTGCATCAGGATCTTCATTACTTCGCCTTCCGGCCTGCCGACCGAATTGTTTGTGCCTGGACCGCAATGCAAAAGGTGGACCGGACAAACGGATGCTTGGTTGTGTTGCCAGGGACTCACAAGGGCTGCCTGAAGGAGCACAAATACCCGGATTGGGAGGTAAACGACGGAGAGGGAGAGGCATGATTGGCGTCAAAAAGCTAGGGTATGGGTGGTTCTCGACTTACGACCAAAGAAATCACTTAGCAACCGACCTGAAAAAAAGGAACTTGCAACCCGGATTCGAAGTTCTGACGGTCACCCCACCCCCTGCCTGTCATCCAGTTCTACCTTGTTTTTTCCCCCCAGGGTGGTGTAAACAAGATGTACCATGGGATCCATGACTACGACGAGAGTCTTCCCAGAGTCCACCTCCCCATGGAGAAAGGAGACACCGTCTTTTTCCACCCCTTGATCATTCACGGTTCCGGAAGAAACAGGACGGAAGGATTTCGGAAGGTAATCCAGACCCCCATAATGTCTGAAGGGCGTCGGAAGGTCCCCCGAGACCCTCACCTGCTGGGTTCAAAGCAAGGACTTTCTGTGTCTTACCTGAACATTTATTTGGGCCTCTTTCTTAATGGTTTTGGTTAATAAGGCTTGGAACGTGGCCAATTCGCATTTAATAGTGAAAATAAACTTCTCTCTGTCTCTTTCCCTCCCATTCCCACTCCCCGCTCTGTCTTCCTCCCTCCCTTTCTCTCTCTCCTCCTCCTCTCCCTCCCTCTCTTTCTTTCTTCCTCCTCCTCTCCCACTCCCTTCTCTCTCCCTCCCTCTCTCCTCCTTCTCCCTCTCTCTCTCTCTCCCTCCTTTCCTCCCTCTCTCCCTCTCTCTCTCTCTCCCTTTCCTCCCTCTCTCCCTCTCTCCCTCCTTCTCCCTCTCTCCTCCTTCCTCTCTCCATCCCTCCCTCTCTCCCTCCCTCTTTTCCTCCCCTTCCCACTGCCCTCTCACTCTCCTCACTCTCCTACTCCTTCCTCCCTCTCTCCCTCCCTTTCTCCCTCCCTCTTTCTCGCTCTCCTTCCTTCTCTCCCTTTCCCTCTCCCTCTCCCCTTCACTTCCTCCCTCCCTTTCTCTCCCCTCTCTCTTTCCCTTTCTTTCTTCCTCACTCCCTCCCTCTCCTCCTCCTCTCCCTCCCTCCCTCTCCTCCTCTTCCACTCCCTTCTCTCTCCCTCTGCCCCTCTCCTCCTTCTCTCCCTCTCTCTCCTTCCTTCTCCCTCTCCCTCCCCCTTCCCACTCCCCTCTCCCTCTCCCCCTCTCCTCCTCCCTCTCTCCCTCCCTTTCTCCCTGTTTCCCTCTCCCTCTCTCCCGCTCTCTCCCTCCCTCTCCCTCTCTTTTAATGCAGGCTATTTCTTGCCATTACGCCAGTAGTGACTGCTACTATATTGACGTCAAAGGGACCACCCAGGAAATTTTAGAGAAGGAAGTGGAAGAGGTTGCAAGGCAGAGGTTTAATATGGCTGGTTCCTCGTTGGATTTGAAAGTAAGTATTTTCTTTCCTTTTTTTTTTCTTTTTCTTCTTTAAAAAGGGTTCGCCCCCCTGCTTCTCTTATAAGGCGTTCAATCCTTCTCCCTAATGAAGAAGTATGTAAAAAAAAACGCCATTTCTGCAGAATTTATATCTTTGGATGCTGCGCTTGTCTGCTTATCGGTATTTCTTCTCTCAGATTGGAAGGGGCTAAGTTTCTCCATGAGACAGGAATAAATCGTGAATTATATTTCCTATAACTGGACCTTCGTTTGGAGGCTAGTAGTCCTCAACTTATGACCACAGTCGGGAGTAGGATTTCCGTTGCTAAATGAGGAAGTTAAGTGTGCCTGATTTTATGACCCTTTTGGCCACAGCTGATGAGCAAATCACTTGCCGCTGTTAAGTGAATCTTGGCAGAAGGTCGCAAAAGGGGATCACGTCACACACACACACATTCGTCATAAATGCGAGTCAGTTGCCGAGCTGTCTGAGTTTTGATCACGTGACCACGGGGAGGCTTACAACGGTCGTAAGTGAAAAAAACCGATCCTAAGTCGCTTTTTTCAGCGCCGTTGTCACTTCCAAGATCACTAAATGAATTGTCGTAAGTGGAGGACTACCTGTATTGCGTTCTGAACGTGGAAAAATCTTTTTAAATGGATGTCCAAGGCATTAACTAAACTCAACCTCTTTATATCTTCCCATGCAAATCAGGATAAATCTCATTATTTCTGTTTTGTTTCTTAGGACGCTGCTATAATACGGTGTCGACTGGTTAAAGGGGAGAAAAAAAATCTTTAAAACTCTCATTCTCCAATCAGCGAAGAAGCCTCGGAGAATTCAGCATTTATTTTTTCTTACTTTTTGGGGGAAGGACTGTGCGGTTAGTAATAATCTCGATAGCACTTTGAAGCGCTATCTGCATCTGGAACTCAATTCAAGGCTGCAATTCTAGGCACATAAATTGTGAGCTACAATGACTACGGTGAAATTTCTTTCTGATTAAAAAAATAAATGGTTAGAATTTAAGCTGCAATTCTATACAAGTTTTACTTAGATTCTAAGAATTTAAACTGGTGTCCTACTCTTGTCTAACAATAAGAAACCTGAGCTCAGTTGGACTTTTAACTATACATGCATAGAATTATATATTTAATTTAACAACTGTAACTGATGTATTTTAAGTAATTTAAATAAATTAAATTTTTGCAGTGTTTGGAAAAACCTCAAGACCTCTTTAAACAGTGCCTCATTTCTCAGAGCTAGAGCAATTTTAGATTTTTCTTTGAAGGAAAATCTTTTATTTTAATGGCAAGCATTTCTTCTCATAGTTTTTTCACCAGGGTGCAGAGTTTTAGATAGTTAACCCGGTTTTTCCGGTTTTCAAAAGTTGGAAGGAGCTGTTTTATTTGAGAAGAATATCATGGACTGGAAAAGGTAGAAGAAGAATCAAGCAATGATTGAAAGCAGATTTCCAGTTTCTGCGTGTGAGCTTTTTCTTACATTAGAAGACGACATGAAAAGTGGATTCGTTTTTTCCTCTCTTTTTTTTTCTTGTTCCTCTTCAGTTAAAGTTTCTGAAATATTTCTGCCAAGGGAGACTTTGAAGAGGAGGAGCAAGGAAAATCTTGTCCTAAGCAATGAAGAGATATAATTGTGATGCCAAAATAAAATAATAAATGAAAAACATGGTTTCCCTGTTTTGAATAATCTTACTTTTCTTACAAGAAATAAGCAAAAAGTATCATTGAGTCAAATGAATTGGATAGCCAGCAGATTTCAAACCAAATCTAAACCTTTATGGTCAATGCACAACATCTGTACAATGAAATTGAATTTTGAACATCTTTCAAAGTTAAACTAACCAGGGTGAGGGGTAGATTTTGACAGTGCCATCTTGTGACCGAGCAGCATAAAAAATTGATGAAATGGAGATCAGTCATTCATCCCAATCCCCTTGAGAGAGAAATCAATCTCACAGGAGATAAACAAAATCAAGCTAATCTAGCATTTTACTAGATGCCATTGCTTGCACTGTACAGTATAGACCACAAGGTGGCAGTGGTCTGCTAAAAGTTGAAAAGTTTTCTGCCCAAAGTATTACTGATCCCTCTGAAAGAATTATAACTATTACAGGTTACACAATAGAATCTTTTTTAAAAAATACACCAGGCACCAGTGGTGGGTTTCAAAATTATTTATTACCGGTTCTGTGGGTGTGGCTTGGTGGGCATGGCATGGCTTGGTGGGCGTGGCAGAGGAAGGATACTGTAAAATCTCCATTCCCTCCGAACTCCAGGGGAAGGTTACTGCAAAATCCCCATTTCCTTTCAATCAGCTGGGACTCGGGAGGCAGAGAATAGATGGGGGCGGGGCTAGTCAGAATTTTTACTACCGGTTCTCCAAACTACTCAAAATTTCCGTTACCGGTTCTCCAGAACTGGTCAGAACCTGCTGAAACCCACCTCTGCCAGGCACCCATAATATTGTATCGTCCATTGAGAATGGACTGGGATGATCTGAACCTGTGCAAGACGAGGAGCCGTTTCTTACTCAGAGATTACACATAACAACTGTCGCAACATTGCTACAGTCAAAATATCAAAATTTGGGCGCCTGGTAACCAGCGTATATTTACAAAGGTCCTAACGTCGGATTGTGACTGACTTAACAACTGCCTTGCTTGACAATGGAAATTCTGGTCCTGGTTGTAACTCGAGGACTACTGGTAGTCCCCGATTTACAACGGTTCATTTAGCGACCGGAGTTACAACGCCACCGAAAAATGTGACTTATTTATTTATTTTATTTTATTTATTTGATTTGATTTCTATACCGCCCTACTCCCGAAGGACTCAGGGTGGTGCACAGCCAAACAATAAAATACATACATACAAAATTTAAAAAGTAGAATTAAAATCAAATTAAACAGTTTTGGTCCAGACAAATTAAAACCCCAATCAATTTAAAACCAATTTTAAAATTTGAATATATAAAATACTAAAAAATATTAAAAATTAAAAATCTTTTAATTCGTTAATTCGACTTAGGACCATTTCTCACACTTTTCAAGATATCTCTGGACTTCAACTCTCATGCTGGCTGGGGAATTCTGGGAGTTGAAGTCCACAGATCTTAAAATTCCCGAAGCTGAATTTTGGACGGTATATGCTAGTATAGATTAATCTCCAAAAGATTAATAAATCTTTTTATTTATTTTTTTAGCATACCGGGTTTTTTTATGTTTAAGTCCATGACTGGCTTAAGATCATCCTTAGAAGTCACAGTAGAGTTGAAATTTAAACCCAAATGAAATAAAATCTTTGGTGACTATTGTCCCATTGTGTAGAAACAGCCAAACAAGAAAAGTTGGGAATTGTTGCTAATACGGGTAGTCCTTGATTTACAACAGTTCATTTAGTGACCGTTTGAAGTTATGACAGCACCGAAAAAAACCGACTGAAGACTTCTGTTGTGTTGAATGCCAGGTTTCCAGAAATTCTCCATCGTTTTTTAGACTTAGCTTGGTTCGGGATGATCAGAGTTTCCCTGCTGAAACTATGGCTAAGGCTGTCCATGGGTTGGGCAATTAAAGAGTCTTTGGACTGCTAGTTAGTATTCACGGATGCACTCTGCTTGTCTTCTGTTGGCTCGGGGCTTCTGGGAGTTGAAGTCCCCACATGTTAAAATTGCCAACCTTGAGAAAGATGGTTATAGAGATACAATATATCTGACTTTCTAAGGCTGTCCAGCACTGTCCTCAAATGGAGCGTCTACAATCTCAGCTTTTGAATAGAACAGAAGAGAAGAGAAAGCATAGAACAGAATATGGAAGGAGAGAGGAAGAGAACAGAAGAGAATGTAGGATGGGATAGGATAGAATAGAACAGAACAGAACAGAACAGAACAGAACAGAACAGAATAGAATATGGAAGGGGAGAGGAAGAGAACAGAAGAGAATGTAGGATGGAATAGAATAGAATAGAATAGAATATGGAAGAGGAGAGGAGAGGAAGAGAAAAGAACAGAAGAGAATGTAGAATAGAATAGAATAGAATAGAATAGAATAGAATAGAATAGAATAGAATAGAATATGGAAGGGGAGAAGAGAACAGAAGAGAAGAGAAGAGAAGAGAAGAGAAAGAAGAGAAGAGAAGAGAAGAGAAGAGAAGAGGAGAATCCCAATGGCCAAGTGTGATGGGACACACAAGGACTTTGTCTCCGGTGCAGAAGCTCTCAGTGTGCAGACAAGCAACAACGGATAAATGCTGAGCATAAAATACATAACATACATAAAATACAACCCTGATGAATTCTAAAATAGCGGACTCTTCTCAAAGCCTCTCTTGCAACGCGCAAGTCCCTTCGCTTCGCTCCTTTCCAGCCGGGCGAGCGCGCAGCGGGGGCGCTTCTTGGGAAGGGCGCAGCGGGGGCGCCTCTTGGCCGGTCGCCCGCCTTCCGACGCCGCCTCCCGGGCACCTGGGCTGCCCTGCTTCCCTTCTCCACCCCTTGCCGGCTATATCCGAGCCCGACCAGCGGGTCTCCGAGACCCTGAGCGGCAGAAGCGCCCGGCTGATTCGCCAAGGACCCTCGCGCCATGGAGAGGCTCGGGAAGCAACGCAGCGCGCCCCTCCGGCTGGGGATCTTGCTCCGGCACCTGCTTCCCCCCGCCGGATTCGTATCCTTCTCCTGCCCACCTGGGCCTCTGGGTCGCCTATCCCGGGACTTTGGTGCCAGCTGTAAGAGAACTCGGGAGGGGCGGGGATCATTTAGATGGGAAGATGCTCTATTGTATTTAATTTCTTTCCGTTTTATGAGAGCAACTCCTCTCAAACTCCTGATTATAAATGCGTTCCGAGTTTGTTTCCCACGGGAACTTCTGCCATCAAAGCCATTTTTAAAAATTTTCTTAATTTGATGTCAAGACACCTTTTCCAACTTCAGCCCAGGTTGCTCCTGTGACATGCCCAACGCAGTTCCGGTGAGTGGAACTTTACTCTGATTTTCCTGGATGAAAAAACACAGATTTAAAAGTTTGCTTCATTTTGCTCCCTTTTTTTTTTAATTTGATTTATATGCCGCCTTCTCCGGAGACTCAGGGCGGGCGTTAAGCAATAACGTGTATTTAGCAGTAGGTTTATGTGGGGTTCAGTAGTTTTTGATTTTGGTTTGTAAAAGTGAATTCTCTTAAACTTGTCTTGCCTTTGGTAAGTCAAGAGCCCTGGTGGTGCAGCAGACTAAAGCACTGTTATTAACATCAGCTGCCTGCATTTACTCCAAGTTCAAATCTCACCAGGCTCAAGGTTGACTCAACCTTCCATCCTTTCTAAGGTAGATAAAATGAGGACCCGGATTGTGGGGGCAATAAGCTGACTTTGTATAAAATATACAAAAGTATGAAGGCTATTGCTTAGCGCATTGTAAGCTGCCCTGAGTCTCCGGAGAAGGGCGGCATATAAATCAAATCCAAAATAAAAAAGAAAAAGTAGTTTAGAGTTTAGCCACTTTGGGTTCTTTTTATTTTTATGAATATGTCTCATTTTCAGAGATAACCTGCCACTCCAGGCCCCAGTAACACGTAGAAGACATCCCGAAGGTGCTTTTTTCAGGAGGCAACTGGACTTTCTTGGGTTTCTTCTTTTGAAGACGTTTCGCTTCTCATCTAAGAAGCTTCTTCAGCTCTGACAGGATAGTGAGGAATGGAATCTTGTCAGAGCTGAAGAAGCTTCTTAGATGAGAAGCAAAACGTCTTCAAAAGAAAAAAACCCCAAGAAAGTCTTTTTTTCCTTCTGAAAAAAGCACCTTTGGGACAACCATGACCTAGAGGACGGAGAACCTCTACAGACCAGTGGTGGGTTGCCCTCAGTTCACACCAGTTTGCAAGAACCGGGAGAAAAACCGGTGGGAGGCTCCGCCCACTGACCCGGACATCATCGTAAGTGATCTGCGCATGCGCAGAAGAGAGCGCGCACACACGAGCACAATGCAAACCAGTAGTAAAGATAAGTAGGAAACCCACCCACCCCCTCTACAGACATCTAGAAGGCATGTGCAACACAATACCAAGCACAATAGAACCTCTGGTCACGGACGCTTCTGACCACGACCGTATCAGTGTGTTTTGTAAGCGCCAAATTTCCTGTTGTTTGTTTACAAACAACAGCGACCCACGTATGGCCGCTGCATTAATTTTGCATTAATTTTGGTTAGGTTCGGGTGACGACCAAATCGGGTTCGGACCAAAGTTATGGAACAAATTATGGTCGTGACCAGAAGTTCTACTGTATACAAAAGAGTATATCAGGGGTGAAATCCAGCAGGTTCTGACAGGTTCTGGAGAACCGGTAGCGGAAATTTTGAGTAGTTCAGAGGCAAATACCACCTCTAGCTGGCCCCAGAATGGGGAGGGAATGGAGCTTTTGCAATATCCTTCCCCCGGAGTGGGGAGGGAATGGAGATTTTGCAATATCCTTCCCCCGGAGTGGGGAGGGAATGGAGATTTTGCAATATCCTTCCCCCGGAGTGGGGTGGGAATGGGGACTTTGCAATATCCTTCCCCTGGACTGGGGAGGGAATGTAGATATTGCAACATCCTTCCCCCAGAGTGGGGTAGGAATGGAAATTTTGCAATATCCTTCCTCCGGAGTGGGGTGGGAATGGGGATTTTGCAATATCCTTCTCCCGGAGTA